GGAGCAAAGCCCAAAAGCATAGGAAATAACCAGGGTAGAAAATAGGCATAGCTACACCTAGATCATCCCCAACCAGTGGCTGTCCAGTCTTTTTTTGAACATCTCCAGTGGTGGAGAGTCCACAGCTTCCCTAGGCAGTCTGTTCTGCTGCCTCACTAGTCTTGCAGTGAAGAAGTTTTTTTTCTGGATATCCAGTCTAAATTTACCTTGCTGCAACTTCAAGCCGTTGATCTGTGTCTTCCTCTATCTGGCAGGAGGGAACCAGTGAGGTGCTTTCCTTCTTTATGGTAGTCATAGTTTCATAGATTTAGGGTCGGAAGGGACCTAGTAGATCTTCTAGCCCGACCCCCCGCCAGGGCGGGAGAACAACAAAACCCCAAAACAAAAACGGGACTCAAATGAGTCCAGCCAGGTAGGCATCCAGCCTCTTCTTAAAGACCCCCAGGGTAGGGGCCAGCACCACTTCCCTTGGAAGTTGGTTCCAGCTCCTAGCCGCCCTAACTGTGAAGTAGTTTTTGCGGATGTCCAATCTATACCTCCTCTCCATCAGCTTGTGCCCATTACTGCTTGTTATGCCAGCGGGGGCTAGGGGAAACAGCGTCTCCCCCAAACCCTTCTGGTCCCCCCTAGTGAGTTTATAGACGGTCACCAGGTCCCCCCTCAGCCTTCTTTTGTGGAGGCTGAACAGGTTCAGGTCCCGCAGTCTCTCACTGTAGGGTCTGCCCTGTTGTCCTTCATGTATTTGAAGACTGTTATCATGTCCCCTCTTAAGCACCTTTTCTGCAAGCTGGACATGCCTGGCTCCTTCAGCCTCTCCTCATATGATTTGCCTTCCAAGCCCTTGATATCTTTATTACCCACCTCTGCACCCTCTTTAACTTCTCCATATCCTGAAGACAGTGGAATTTAAATAGGATTTTGATTATGTGTTAGAAAAATGTAGTAGATAAAAACCACATATGCCTACCCAGAAACATGATTTGGAGGGTAGAGACCTTCAAGCAAGAAAGGAGATCAAGTAAATAAGGAAGCAGCAATTGGGGGGAGGAGGGGGAAGAATGCCAGAGAAAGAAAAGGAGAAGTGCCTAACAAATTAACATTAGGCTAGTACCCTCTGATTACAAAATAGCAAATGAAGGGCCTAGTAAAAAAAATGGGGGGTAGAAGGGAGGAGGAAGAAAAGAATTAACTTTAATATTATACAAGGTCTTAGAACAGATATTGAAGGAAAGAATAACTGAGTATATGATCTTCCTTGAACAAAACCATTTGTATCTCATTTTTTTTATCATGTCACATGACTCTGATATTCTTCTGTGACAGGATAACCAACTTCTTGAGTATTAGCAATGTAGTAGACCTATTTTATTTAAATTTAGGCAAAGCATTTGATGGTTATGCCTCATGGGGAATTACTGGCTAAGGTCAGAATTAATATTCTAATTGTAAAATGAATAAAGAACTGCCTAAAAGGATGACTATGGCTGGTTATATTGAAAGCAAAATGATCTGATTGGAGGAAGGGTAATAGTGGCTCATTTCTAGCAGTGGAAACTTCTGAGAAATTTTCACCACTAAAAATGTTTGAGAGAGCACTGCCAGCATTCAGCCTGCAGCTGCCCTTTGTCTTGGGGTGCTCCCAGTCTGGGGAAGCCATGGAAAGCAGCAGGGCCAATCCACACCTACTCCCAGACTGAGGACCTCCAGCTGGGGAGCAGCAGGTGGCTGCTCCTCTCCTTCCCTCTCCTCCCAGTCTACAGGAAAGGCAGGAGCTGCAGAGCAGTGTCCCCAGTGCCTTCTCCAGATAGGGCCCCAGGCCAAGGAAGCCATGAGGAGCCTTTTCACATTGCCCCATTTCTCCTGGGACTGAGAGTAGACAAATGGCAGCTGCTCTGTCACATCTTTCCCATAATGTGGTGTCCCAAGTCTCAGGAAGGCAGGGCTCCAAGGAGAAGTCATGCAATGGGGAAGTGTACCAGTATTCTTTCCTTCAGGAGCGACTTTTCCATAGGAGGGATCTTCTTGGGTGAAAGAACGTGTGCCATTAGACTGGAGTTCATGGATATATTTGCTCATTGTAGAATGACTATGAGCAGTCAATGCAATATAAAGAAAAGTTAGAATGAGTTAAAAAAGATAGGGACAAGGAAGTTTTAGTACTACTGTACATTACATTTGTAGTTATTTGGAATAACATATATGGTTTGTGTCCAAAAAAGATTAATTTAAACTGGAACAGTTTAGGAGAAGAAACTGTTAAGCTGTTTGGGATAACAGAGTATATTAAGAAAAGGATTTAAAAGAGCTGGGCTCATTTAGCTTAGCAAAATGAATACTTAGAGGGGATAGCATTACTATTTATAATGTGCTCTGGGAGTGGAAGAAATATCAGGAGAGGAGAAGAGGTATTTAAGTTTAAAGGATAATATTGACGCAAGTTTAAATTGATACACACTGGACATGAGAAAATTTACCTGGCTGCTAACCATTAGAAAAGTGAGGCTTTGGAATGCTCTTCCAAAGAAATCAGCAAGTGCAAGAATTTGAATTTCTGTCAAAATGCAAGTAAGTCAGCAGAATTTTTTTTTTTTTGCCTTCCTTTGAACATTGGGCATTGGCTCAGGTGTTTTGATGCTCTGTCCTGAACTGAGAATTTTCCTGGGTCCCTCAAGTGGGTCTTGCCTAGAGTCAAAGTGATCACCAGATTTTGGGGTCAGGAAAAAACATTCTCCCATGTCAGATTGCCAAAGACCTTTCGGGGGGGAGGGGTGGTTTTGTTTTTTGCCTTCCTTTTTTAGAGTAGGATGTGCTCCTTCTTCTAGTATAATCTGAGCCTATTTCTTCTATTGCAGAGACCAAAGCTTGGGTGGCATTATTGTTTCGCATGTTGGACATTGTTGGCACCTTTTTGTTAGTTTGTATTTTATTTGAATACTTTGTGGCTGTGGTGTGCAAGAAGAGCCATACTGAATTTTCTTATGGACTCTTTTGGAATAGTTTCATGTAAATCTCTTTAGAATAGTTTCATGTAAATTAATGGGACTTCATGATCTAGATTTCATAAACATTCCGGCTGGAAGGGACCTTGGAAGATCATCGAATCCAGCCCCCACCCAAAGGGCAGGAAGTCAGCTGGGGTCATAGGATCCCAGCAAGATAAGCATCCAATTTGCTCTTGAAGGTGTTCAGTGTAGGTGCTTGAACCACCTCCAATGGCAGGCTGTTCCAGACCTTGGGGGCTCAGACAGTGAAGAAATTCTTCCTTATGTCCAGCCTGAAACGGTCTTGCAGTAGTTTATGTCTGTTTGACGTCATCAACCCTTGGGGTGCTCTGCTGAACAAATGTTCCCCCAGATCCTAGTGGTCACCCCTGATAAACTTATAGGTGGCCATCAGATCACCCCTGAGCCTGTGCTTTTCCAGGCTGAAGAGTCCCATAGCTCTCAGCCTCTCATCATAAGGTCTGTTTTCCTGACCTCCAGTCATGCGCATGGCTCTTCTCTGGACTCTCTCAAGCTTCTCCACATCCTTTTTGAATTGTGGAGCCCAAAACTGGACGCAGTACTCCAGGTGCGGCCTCACCAAGGCCAAGTACAAGGGGAGAATGACATCCCGGGATTTGCTTGAGAAGCTTCTATGGATGCAACCCACCGTTTTGGTCGCTTTACTAGCCGCAGCATCACATTGCAGGCTCGTGTTCATCTTGTGATCAATGATGACCCCCAAGTCTCTTTTTCTTCTTTAGTGTTAGCCAGTATAGCACTGCTGAGCCTATCAGGATGCTGCAGGTTTTTCTTCCCAAGGTGGAGAACCTTGCATTTTTCGGTGTTAAACACCATCAGGCTCTCTTCTGCCATATGCTGAGCCTGTCCAGGGTAGCCTGGATCACCCGCCTGTCTTCTGGTGTCGATGCTTTGCCCCAAGGCGGTCCCTTTCAATTCCAGATGCCCAATGTATTATTCTAGGCGGTCCCTTTCAATTCCAGATGCAATCCATCTGGGAAAATAACAATATGTTGGGCATGAGAGAACATGCCAAGGATAATTTACACATTCTAACTATTTCCTAGGCTGCTGCTTGGAACATGTCAGATCTGTGCATCTGCGTGGCTAGTATGTTGCTACCTGATCAGACATAAATTCTATCATGCTCTTGAAATTAAAATTCAGACCACATATCTATTAATGCAATGAATTTCTTGGTATCTGCCAGCACTCTGGTTAATTTCCTTGATATTCATGTTCTGTGATTAGATGTGTACCATCTACAATCCAATGTCTTGAAAAATGGCAAGGCTAATTCATGCTGTTTGATGTATTTACTTAAATTTGGTGATGAAATAATCAACAATATGTCACTGTTACATTATGTCAAGATCCAAAGAAATTGCAAATAAAGAATAACTCCATATTTTGGCACTCCTTAATATCTTCAGAAGATTATTTTAAGTGGAGTTTTAATATTCAGAATAGTGTTATAGTTTACCTTTAATGCACTTAGAGACAATTTGTAAAGGTGCCTTAACCTGATTCTGATTTTCCAATGGTGATTTTTGTATCAGTAGTTAGTTAAAAGTGCAAGTGATAGTATTGTTTAAGAAACACGTGTGCTTACTGTGCAAGTACTTTAAAGGTAAATGACATAATTCACGCTTATAATAAGGCTATTTTTCAAAGTGTCAAAAAGGGTCTGCCATCTTAGTATGTTTTGTACTCTGTCAATGTGAGTATATTTTGACCAAAAGAAGAACAAGTCAACTTGGAGTACAAGGGGGAGTTTTTACTACAGGCTTCACCATAAGAAAGTTTGAAGCACTTGGCCGTGTTGTAACTGTAACTATGGGCTTGGGTAAAGTGGTTATTTTCTTTTCTTTTCTTTTAGTTGTTTACTGAGAGGTCAGTTACACAAGGAAGTCGTCCCTTGTTCACTGTCCTACTGACTTTTCATGAAAGATTTTTTTTTAATCCTTCACTTCTTGTTTTTATTTATCCTATCTTTAGGAGAAAGATGCAATGATGACACCTACGCCATTTGCCAGGCCACAGGATTTAGGCCCATCTATTGCTATTGTAACTAAAGTAAACCAGATCCAAGATCATCTGCTGAAGAAGCATGATATTGAGCTGTATATGCATCTGAACAGGCTAGAAATTGCTCCACAGATTTACGGACTGTAAGTGTTTACAATGCCTTGTTTACTTTAATTGCTTGCAATTTGTTTTCTTTAAAATGAGGACTATTTGCCTTACTCATTTTAAAACATTATGGATGTCAGGAATAAAGAAATGTAGGTAGGGAAAAATTGCCCCCTATGTTTGTGTGTATGCATATTCTGTTAACAGTATTTCACAGATGAAACTGCTGTCCTGTACCTCAGTGTGGTGAGAGGATCTAAAATATTCAAAGAGCCATATAGGAAGTTTTATATAATGCATTGATTCAGAATCATGCCTTCAACATATCTACTATATATTTTGCTCAATGAATAAGAATTAGCTGCAAAAATAAATAGGAACTATTAGCTTTCAGTGTTTTTTTTTTTTTTCCCTGTCACTTTCTCCTTTCAGAGTACTATATCTACTCGCATACTACATGCACCCCCAAAATGAGCTCTTCAAAATTAGTATATCTTGAGTAGAGAACTTGATCTTTCTTTTCTGGAATAGAGACAGGGTAAAATAGGGCAAGCAGACACTGTGACTCATGGCTCCCAAGATGGCTGCCACTTCTCCCTGGGGTCTCAAACAGCAGAAGTGGAGTCCAATGTTAACCCTCTCGCAACCACCGGTCAGGTAGTAGCTTTTGTCTGTATACACATAGTCAAATGATGTTGGAGAATTCCTCTGGGTTTGCCTTCCTGGTAGAAAAACTAGCCAGAGACTCCTGAACGGATATTTGGATGCTGAGCCCCTGGAGAGCAGAGAGCTCGTGGTGCTGATGATGCACAGCTGGGGACTCGTGTGCATACATCTCAATATGTTATTCAGGTTTCCTCAGACTGCCTAGAAGCAGATCACGGCCTTGCATAGGGCAACGCTGATTGGCTGGCTTGGACTGCTCAGGTTAGCCTGCTGCAGCCCAATGTAGGAATTGTAAAAAAGGGGATGTTTTTGCTCCCTCCTACTCTAGAGCAGTAGAATCCAGCCTGAGCAACTCTGCCTCCCCTGAGGGGGAACAAAGGAGCCTGGAATACTGGAGGGCTATACCGCAGCTTCGTTCAAAATTGTTAAGACATTTCCTCCCACAGAAGAAACTCTCCTGGAAACAATTTATCCTTGGCTGTTCCTGGATTATTTTCCTTCTAGAACAGCTCTTTTTGCTATGGGAGAAAAATCTACTACTACTGCTACTACTTTTCTAACATAAGATATATTTGTATCTTAGCAAAGTATTTAACTCTCTCAGAATTTTGCAAAGTTGATTTAACCCTCATCTGTTCTCATGAAACCGTAACTGTTGTTGTTCTCATGGGGTAACTTGTTACCCCACCTGCATGAACAAAATGGAACCAGTGACAACAGTATAAATGTACCAAAACTATTTATTAAATGTACAGATTGTTTGAAAGAGTATTTATGATGATTTAAACCCAAAATATTATTTAACTAGAACTACGAAAAAAATTTAAACTTCTTTTAGTGTTTCAGAACGTGAACAAACAGTTTGCTAAGTCTGAAGTTCACACTGTTTTCAAACTAACAGTTACTTCCAAAAAGATTTCCTGTTTTAACTAAATATTGCTTTCCTCACAAAGCAGCAGGTTTCCAGGTTTTGCAATCTTCTCTCCTTGGACAAAAAACACAACATCCACTCAAGCTTGCAGAAGGTTCTATTGGGGTGTGTTGTGGCAATTTGTAATTTAAGGCAGTCATACCAGACTTGACAGACTTAGACAGATTATGTGTATCCATCATTCTTCATTTTATTTGTCTGTCTGTCTGTCTGTCTGTCAACTGTTCTCCAAGTTCCTGCAAAAAAAAGCGCTGTCTTCATGCCTCATACAGGAAAGTCACCACCGTCCTGCTGAGGGTGGTACGTCTGGGCACTTTGTGCAATGGGGCCATGAGCCACCTGAACCCTGGCCACTTAACAAAGGGGGTGGTGCCTGCAGAGATGCATGAGCATCCCCGTGGTCCTCATGCATTTTGCTCCCTTGCCACGGCTGGTTTTGCCTTGGCAGTGCAGGAACATAGCATACGTGGGATCATCTGCCAGCTCATAATGATCCCAAACCACACTACCCCCTCACTTCTGCAATGCAGGTGCGTGTGCATGTGCGAATGCTGCCTTTTCCCCCTCTGCAGCAGGCATTGGCACAGCAACAGGAGGAGCGGACTCAGCTGAGCCACTTGCCTCCACAACTTCTACCTCAACCTCCTCTGAAGTGGCTTCTGGAAAAGGAGACCTGGCTCTAGGGGAAACTTGAGGGGTGTGGAGCACAAACTCAGATGATTCCCTCTCCTTCCCCAGAATTTCCCTTGCTGTGGCACTCAGATCCAGATCCAGCTTTTCCTTTGTCAGTGGAAGGCTTAGGCTGGAAATTAAAATCGGGGTAGAGGAGACTGTACTGCTGGTGCTGCTTGTTGTTGTCATGGTGATGGTGCTCGGGGTGGTTGTTATTATAGCAGGTGTTATTGGAGGGGATGCAGACACTGCTCCCATCTGCTTGGTGCCACTAGCAGCAGAAGCGGCATGGCTGCTAGTTGTTGGAAAGAGGCTGCATTTAAGTTTGGGGGAAGGGGAGGGAGAACTTCGAGCTCTCCCTCTTCCGCCCTGGCCAGAAGTGGCCACCTGCCTTTCCAGCATGCTTCATGTTTGGTGTGCTGGAAAATCTGTGCATGTTTCTGTAATGTAATGTGTATATTTATGTAATACATAAATATATGTTCTGTAATATAAGTTGTGGCTTTCCTGCACAGTCAGTGCACTATCAGGGAAAACACAGATTTTGTTAATGTGGAGAAACAAAGAAAGAAATACAGAGAATAACAAAAACAAAGGATTTTGGGGGAGGAATACATTGAAAGGAATGGATTAGGAAAGGGTAGTAGGGTATTTCGGAAAGGATTGGATCCCACTTGCTAGGAACAGACTAGCAAGTAGTAAGTAAGAGCCTTCCTGGTGCTCCTGATGCTGCTGGAGGACACAGCTCAGAAAGCTGACAAAGGCACAGCTGACAAAGCTAATTTCAAACATTGCTTTTATGCTCCTTCTCTGTTCATCCCCCAGAGCACTGGGATTGGAAGAGACCTCAGGGAAGAACTGCAGTCACTGGCCAGCTACACATGTCAATATCAGGGTAGTCCTTCCCCCTCTTCTTCCTCCCTCTCCTTAGTTTGTATTTCCCTGCAAGTCTAGCTCCAAAACTTGAAACTCTTTGAAATTTTCAAAGCGTTTTGAGTGGCCTCATTTCTTTTTGAAGCTGTTTCAAAGCCTTGCATTTTCTTTCAGTGTTTCAAGTTTGAAACACATTGAAACACCTTTGAAACAAAACATCCATCGAAATTTTGCACAGCTCTACTCCCTGAACCTTCTTTCTGCCTCTCTGTTTGTTTCTCTTATGATAACAGTCAGGATATCTTGTGAGAGAAACAGGTGGAACGTTTGCACCACTGTCTTTATTACTTTCTCTTGTTGGCCCAGCACTTTCATGGACTATGTCCTTGGTTGTTCTCCAATGATGTATTAGCTGTGGACTTTTTCCCCACACTCTGCCGTTCCTTCCTTTAAAGGTGTCATCATCTGCAGTGTTTTCTGGGGGTGGTGGCAGTGGTTCTGCTCCACATCCTGCTGTAGCTTGGTCTTCCATGGTGTCCCCAGCCTGGTCCTCTTCTCTTTCCCACTGAATGTGTTGGCATCACTTCTGCTTGTGGCACCAGCTCCTCCTCATCTCAACTGGATGAAGCTTTCCTAGATGCATGGTCTTCTTGCTCTGAACAATCTCCCATGTCTGGAACAAAGTCAGCATCCTCACTGCCTTGGGATAAGATTTCATCAGTGGATATGTTGCTGTCATCCCCAGTTACCTGTGCAAGATAGGCTTCAGCAATGAATATGCGCCTTCTTCTCATCCTGGACTGCAGAAAAGAATGATTACTGCTGAATGCGTATAAATAACAATCAAAGACCAGCCTGTCCACCTATGCTGTCACAGAACCAATTCTACCCTGCCGTATGGCAGTGCAGGTAGTACCCTCTCCTCCTGGGCACAGAAGCCAGAGACCAGCATTCACCCATTGCAGGCAAGCCAAATGTGAATGGATGCTGTTTGGAAATCACACATGCAGGGGCTTATTGAGAGCAGGTAAAAGAGGTATGGGGGGTGTCCCCTTACTGTTGAAGGGGACTCCATAGTGTATGCTGTATTGCAGTATGATATTGTTGTACTTCTCTGCTGCTCCTTTGCTCCTTGTCCTCACTTCCAACAAAGGCAGGGCAGACTATCTTGTATGTTATGAAAGGGGCAGGTGAGGTGGAGTTTTGCCATGAGAAAAGAGAGCAGAGGTGGGTTTGGGTGTGACAAAGGGGTTGGGGGGGGGGGTTTGGCAAAGGGCAGGGGGTTTTGACAACTTTGCAGCCTGCAAACAAAGTGGCTAGCAAAAGGGATTACCACATCATCTGCAAAAGCAGAGTTGAGGATGGCCATCCACTAGTTACCATGGATACCTGAAGTGGACATGAATGACATGTGAATGAATCCTGACCTTTCAGTTGCATCCACCCAAAGTGGCCAAACAGGTCTAGGCCTGTCATTTATACAGAAATTGATTGTGATAACAAATTACCCCAATGTGTTAATGTAGGCTTGGGGTAAGTTTTTACCCCATATGGAAAAACACATTCACGCCTGCGGTAACATGTTACCCTGGGCAGTTTTTCATCCACAGAGAGCAAACCATTCATGTAAGCTGGCTGTTCTATGGGAATATTGTGCACTGTGGTGTCAGTGACAATGTCCTAAAAAGAAACATTTTTAGAATTAACTAACTTCAAGATACTGCACAAAATATGTATCTGGGGTAGGAAATTACTCCATAGGGAACGTATGAAGGTTAAACTGAGTGTGATACCATCATGTTAATTGAAAGCTAGTTGGAAAGGCTGCAAGTTGAGGAAAAGTAAACTATGCATTACTGAATGTGGAGACAAGGCAAATTTATCTAGTTTTCGGTA